GGAGTAATGATTTTTGGTTTCAAGTTTTATTGAATTTATTTAGTGTAGTGTAGAAAATATTGTGACAATGCTGCAGATCTAGAGTCTGATTGCCATGAGGAATGCTGCAAAGAGTTGCTCACAAGTTCCTTGGTGTCGGTACCTAATGGTGCCCACCTCGTCTATTAGCTGAGGGATATCAGTTGAAGCTATTGCTAGTGCTTTTATAATGTTATATAACATGCGTTGGGGTAACTCGGTTTCTATTGGCTGTTAAAATACATGCTTAATGAGAGTCATTAAAACCGTTGGATTTACCATTTGTTTCCCGGTATTGACATCATGACTTTTTAATTTTTTGGAATGAAGCACTAATACTATAAGTTTCAAAATGTATTTTGTATTTAAATGATAACAGCCTTTCTTTTTCTTTCTGATAGGTATGGATGTTCTACCAGCTAATGTCCATAATAAACGCGATGAAGAAAATCTTCCTCAGACCTCCAGATCTGTGTATCCTTCCGCTTTCAAACGCTTCAAGGATAAAGTATTTTTAACGGGTATCTTATCTTTTTCTCTCCCGTATGTCCAATGTTTTTCATTCAAACAATCGATTGTAGAAGAAATCTTGTTATGCGTCTCCATTGAAAAGGCCTGGGATCCTACAATGGGTTCCCGCCCAAAGATACATCGGAGTAAAGCTATATAATTTAAATACAATTTTCATGCGAGTAGCAATATTAGCAATTGTCAAATGCTGAAAAACATTGTTTGTAAATGAGATGCTAGGGAATCTTTCACACATCATTGTCTGTTTAAACGACGATGACATGGCAAAATGCTTGCAATGATTTTAGAGTGTTGACAAAACTAGGTGCCTCCTATGCTATCTGGGACCCAATCAATTGGAATGCCTATGCATGCTTACTGGCTTAAATGTTTACAAACAGCTAGAGATCATCACTTGGTGTAGCAGTAAGAGACCACTTACTATGAGAACTAATTTGAAGTCTTCAGGTCATCAACTTCATGAAATTTATGCCAAAAATTAGGTCTGTATCGATTCAGCCCCTCTAAACATCCCATATTAGCTGGGCCATTCCGTATTTGGGCCAAATATTTTTCTCTCCTACATGGACCTTTGTGGAATATCCATGATGCATGCATATCATTGGTCATCTTAACCTTGGTAACTTGAGGGCTGGTAGGAGGAGTATGCGAGTGTTCAAACTCATTCCATGTTGTATCTTTTATAAATGTTAATTAGATATGTTTTGATGGGATAATTGTTCTTTTTGATGTATAACAGTGCTCCATTGTCTGAAAGGATTAATGTCAAATGTTCTTAAAATCGGTACGTAGAGTACTAATATATGTATGGTTACTGTATTGGTAATATTTTATATATATATAGTTAACTATTTCTTCTTGGGTAAGAATTGTAGACGTCGAGCAAGAAATATTGAATATGAAGAACAAGCATATCCATGCCCGTGAACTACTCAAAAAGATGTGTGATCCAAACTTGACTTCTGATCCTAAACAGACTGAAGCATACTTTGAGGCGACAAAAATAGCCATCAAATGTGGGAATGCTGAATTTGTTGAGGAAGTTCTAAGGTCCAATCCTACTTTATTATGGGGGAATAAGGAAAGTGGAAGCATTTTTCACATGGCAATTGCTTGCCGTCAAGAGAGAATATGGAACCTCTTCTATGGTTTAAGTATTGCAAATAGAAACAAAATTACAGAAATTCTAGTAGAATCGCACAGCATGCTACATATAGCTGCATGTCCTGTAGTATTGTCTAACGTCATAGGAAGACCAGATGGAACTTCGGAAAAGCAAGGAGAACAACAGTTCTGGAAGGTGTTCAGTCATGCCCCAGGTGTAGCTATGGAAGTGCAAAGAGAAGTACAATGGTACAAGGTAATCTGTTCTTAACTTTCTACATCATTATCCAAACGTACTTCTGGTCATAGAATGTCATTTTGAGTATCATTAGTTTACTTTCGGGGAACTTCATGCCATAGATGACGTTTTCTATTAGTAAAATTTTAAATCTCATGCAGCGTGCTTACTGTGGGAAAGCTTTCAAAATATTTTATTCCTTAAAGAATATAAAAACTACGATTAATAAGAAGGCCGATGAGACAACCTAGGTTGATGCAATGATGCAGATATTAGACCTCTTGTAGGAGTGGTTGGGTGGGGTGTAGGTTCTTACATATGTAAGGGCCTTATCTGCATATAGTAGCACATGTATCCAACAAAATGACGATCTTCACATGACACGCATGCACAACTATTTTGTAGGGGCTCATATTTATGGAGAAAGTCTACCCTGCGGGTATTGTATACGTGGTACCCCCAACCAATGAACAGATATAGAAACTCTCAATTTGTCTTACCACATATAAGTACCCCAGAGTATTGTAAACTTTCTCCATATTCATGCTCATATATCACTTTAGATAAGGGTTTTTGCACATGAACAAAGTTTTGCTCCAGTATGTTGATGCATAAGAAATATGTTTGGAGCAATTCATTGCATCCATTGGAGCATGGTTTCTTTTCCAACATAAGAATTGCCTAGTGATGCGATTAGTAATTCATTTGAGCCCTTCCATAAACTCATATAAATATTGCAATCAAGCTTTTAGCTAGACTGTAAGTATCTATGAACTAAATATTATTTTGATGTCCTTTATTAATTATGATAGGAGGTGGAGAGTGTCGTACCATCTTCACAGAAATTTCTTGCTAATGAAAATGGAGAAACACCTTCAGCTTTGTTCTGGAAATGGCACTGTGAATTAGTCAAAGAAGGAGAAAAATGGATGAGAGATACAGCAAGATCATGTACAATTGTGGCCACTCTCATCGTCACTGTTATGTTTGCTGCAGCCTTCACATTACCAGGTGGTACAGATGATAAGTCAGGGAACCCTAAGTTCCTACAACGCAACTCTTTTATGGTTTTTGTTATATCAGATGCATTATCTCTATTTTCTTCGGTTACTTCAGTGTTAATGTTCCTAAGCATTCTCACTTCACACTACGCGGAAAAGGATTTTCTCAAGTCATTACCCTTGAAACTGATAATAGGTCTCGCCACCCTTTTCTTATCTATTACCGCCATGATGGTAGCCTTTAGTGCCACTCTTGTTATTGTGCTTGGTGAGAAAATAAGTTGGGCTGTTGCTCCTGTTTCATTGCTAGCTAGTGTACCGGTCTTATTTGCCTTATTGCAATTTCCTCTGTTTGTCAACATGGTCTCCTCTACGTATGGACGCGGTATACTCAACCGGAAAACAAAAGGCTTGTTTGTTTAACTCCTCAAATGACTGTGATCTTGCCTCTTGGAAATTGTACATAGGTGTGTGTAATCTACCATACAATATAAGCTTAATGTGTCTCCTATGTTATCAGGTTCTACCTGTTAGCCTTTCGGCTGTTCTAATAAACTCCCTTGTTTTGTTTCTTTTGTGCCATGTCCCTTGTTGTTCTTGGGCAGGCCCAATCTTTGGACTCTGTACAGTTTTTCTCATTTATATACATTGCTTTTCCGGGAAAAAAATATATGTATTGACAATTTTTTTTATTATTATTATTATTTTTAATCAGAGGTTTAATTGCTATTTGCACTTCTAGTTAGTTATACGGATGTTTATTGTTAGAGTATAAAGTATGTGTATTTATATAACAAAGGGTGCAACTTGGCCAAGCTAACCTAAACTCAACTCGAGTCGACTTGGACAACTATTCTTACAATTAAAGTTGGATCTGTATTGAAAATCTAGGGGTGTTCATTTAATCTGTCAATCCATGAAATTGATCATATCCAATCCGATTCGTGTGAATTGGAATAATTTTTTATGCTCATGGTTCGGTTATGTATTGATAAATATGGAATCAGCGATCAGTTAACAGATTGAGGTCTTAAAAAATTGATCCGATTTAAATTTATATCATATTTTATATATATATATATATATATATATATATACACACACATATATACCATTTCTTTTTTCTTTATTTATTTATTATTATTTTCAGTTATACTAACTTTTAACCTAAAGGCGGACCTAACTTTTTAAGGTTAAATAACGTTTGAAAATTCATCTATTAGGCAATGGTAAAAAATAATAATTTTGAACTATTTAAAAAAAAAGCCTGGACAACCAATTTGATCCGATCAGCAAAAACGCTTGAATCCGATCCAATGTAATCTATGATGTAAACGAAAAAATTAGATTCAACATTCATGAAATCATAGGGATAGGATTTGGTTAATGCCCAATCTGATCCGATGTAATTGGTGGTCTGCCCTAAAAAAATCTCAACCTCGAACTAAAATTATAGCTCTAATCCGCACAACCAGTCCGAGTTGCCCCATAATATAAACACACACAAACTAAAATCATAATCTTCTTGTATCCAGACATTGATATTGACACGACATTGTCATCTCTCAAGAAAAGAATTATGCTTTTGAAAAAGATGGGCCAAGCATCAGAATTACCACTTTACCTACTATAAAAAAAGGGCAAATGTTGGACTTGGACCTAACCTAAACGAACTTAATACTACAAAGTTGCGAGACACAGAAAAAGAAGAGCCTTGCCAAGAAGAAGAGAAAGTGAAGAAGAGTGGCCACTTTTCTTTTCAGTAAGTGATCATCATCAACTCCATTTTATTTTTATTGTAAGCTTATAAATATTATGTTTGTTGATTTGTTAGATTCTTATTTCTTTCTGTCTTTGTCTTTATTTTTACCATTTTTACGCCATGTTTGCAACTGGGAAATTTGGAATGAGGACTGTAACCTTATTTGTTTTTTGGTTCATTCAATTTGCTGCAAAATGGTGATGGACAAAGTTGTTTCAACTCCTATGAAATAAAAACCTAAAAGAAAAAAATATGATATTTTACACAACTTTCAACCCAGAGAGCAGAACAGAGATTTTTGGCATCATGATGTAAAATTTATGTACAATGGCAGAGATGCCCTCTACTTTCTCGGACAGAAATCAACTTGGAAATCTTAAAAGATGGATGCACAACTGTAAATGCCTCTATTTTACCATCTCTCTGTATCTATATATTATGATTTGCCTCTTATATGGTTACAGTTTAATTGTGGTGGTCCAGTTCAATCTAATTGAGAAGAATAGACCGACAAGAGTATATTAACATATTACAAAGGAATAACATTAGAACAGTGTAACATTAGAAGACTTAGTTGTTGAATTAGCTCATGAGAAGCATGGAATGCCATACTATATATATATAAATTGAATTTTATATGGCCTCAAAGCTTAAACGGATCGTAATTTTTTTAATGTTTGTTTAAATGAAGCCAGTAAATCTACCTTAAGTAGAAAAGGGAAAGAAATGAAAAACCACCACCACCACTTCCTCCATATTACATTACATATAATTTACAAGAATTAAGGTGTGACACATTACTTTTACCTTTGATCATCAACACCATTAATTTCATAAAAATAACAATGTTGAATGCTCTAAGTCTGTAACAACATAAAGTACTGTGTCAGATGTACATAACAGTATATATATTCGGGAAAACATTACCAAAAATATATTTTACAAAAAATACTGTAAAGAGAGTACGAGGTTGTCGAAGACATCCTCATCAGTACCATATGTTGTGTGTGTGAAGAAAAAGAATTATACTTGTGAAAAGATGAGAGGACAAGCATCAGAAACCCCACATTAAAAGGAAAAAGAAAAAGGACACGTATATCACATGCCACTGAATAATATAATGCTCTTAATTTGAGAGTAAAGCAGAATCAATTAACTGTGAGAAGAATAACATACCTACCCTTTATTTAATATGCCTGGAGGAAGAGGAATAGGAAGGAATAATATATTTTACTATAAAAGGCAACTGTTGGAAACCAATTATATTACTATAAACTTCCAGAAGTGGAGGAAATGAAGAGGAGGCTGAGGAGCTAGCTAGCGTCCACTTTCCTTAATCATGTAAGATATATATATATATATATATTATATATACTTGTGGACTTATTAGATCCTAATTACTGTCTATATATATGTATACCATTTTCTAATTAAGGCTTATATGTTTGCTTAAATTTTTTATATTGAAGTGGGTGTTGTAATTAAGCAGCATTTGGCTTTTGGTTAGCACTTAAATTCTTTTTCATGAGGTTATATAATAAATACTGCAGCAAGTATTAATTTCTATACAACAATTCTTAGTAATTGTTATGTGTGTGTGTGAATATATATATGTATGTATATTATTATACATAAAAATTAATAGAGCATGCATATGCAGGTCAAGGGCGTCGACATCATCAGAAAAAGAAAAGGCAGCTGAAAGTAGGGATGATGATATAATTAAATATATACACCTATATAGGGCGTTGGTGAAGGGTGATTTGGGAGGTATGAAAGCATATCTTGATGTACATCCAGATGCAATATCGGCTAAGATCTCCACATTAGGGGAAACACCTCTTCATATTGCTGTTTCGCATTGCCACGCGGAGTTGGTGGAGGAGCTTCTTGGCAGGATGGGTCGTGTAGTGAGTAGTATCAGTAGTGTAATAGATGAATATGGTGACACGCCCCTTCATATTGCTGCCAGGAGTGCTGCTGACACAACCATAACATATGCATTAGTTCAGCACTCACTGTAACGACCCTAGCTGATGTCAAAATTTAAAAAAATTTGGCATAACCTCCTCTAAAAATGGGCCTTCAACAACCCGTCCCAATACACAAAACACATAAAATCATCCAGCATCCCATTCATCCGTTCATTATACCTCAACATAGTTCCTCTCATGGTGGAACAGCCACACACCAATTAATCTAAATTATCATAATTACAGTCCCAAAATACATGATTAATATTTAAAGTCCCTGTCTTACAGCGTTACATGATATAATTGCATGGAAACATATACCATAATTCCACTAGTTTCATTTACATCAAACAAAAAATAAGTTCGTTCTTAAGTTACAAAACCATGAATACTAACTTAGTTACATTTTCACAACTACGAATATACATAGAACGGTCAAAATACAAAATAACAAACAACCTTCTAACAACTTTCAAGCTTGATGTGGATTGTCGTCCACCAGTTCATTTCCAAGACCTGAAAAAAATAATATAAATAGTAGGGTGAGCATAAAGCTCAGCAGGTGACACTTAAGACACACATCTTGTGTCCTTGTGACTCCAAACGAAGCATAGGCCAATGGGAAATGGGAATCATACAATGTCGGGAAATAATACAGCATAACGATTCAATCTCAAGTATATCCAATGCAATGGTATGAGATGCAATGCATGCTAGTGTCGCTCCCCATTTTTATAATCCAAAACATCGTTTCCAAACTGTTAATACAGCCCGCCCTTTGGTAGCCCCGCCGCGACACGAGAGGAGGATTGGCTAGTGTCCCTGACCCTTGGTAACCCCGCGGCGTCATTATAGGGCCCAGCTAGCTCAACCACGCTAGGGCGACTCCCTAGTCCCCTCTAGGCTATATTAACCTCCGGCCCGTTGGTAACCCCGCAGCGACCGGGTTTCGCATAAAACCATTTCATCAAAAACACTTCCCTGAAATTCCCCATATTTATTTCAAGAACAATTTCTCTCATTTCATGCAAACCCAATGGTATGTGCATGTATATATATTCCATACATTCAATGTCATGGCATTTAAAATTCTATACCATAAAATTAAACATTCAACATGTTCAACATCTCCCAAGTAATTATTAACACATTAAGATATAACAAAAATACATTTAAGCATGCTTTACACATAAAACAACTCACAATCAAATACATGAATTTCTCTAGACAATATTTAAAATAATCATTGATACAATTAACTTCTAATTAAGCATGCTTGGTACAACAAATGATTATAACTCACAATGGAACAAGAAGGTAGTGGATTAAGGTGTCCCTACCTCAAATTTGCACAAAACCCTTAAAATGGATCTCTAAATTCGAAGTCCCTAGGAAGACCAAAAACTGAAATTGCTTGTATGAGCGTGTAGAGCTCGTCGCGGGCTTCGTTTTGCCTCAAACGGCACTTAAAAACAGTAAGAGATGAGGGAGAAATCAAAGAGTGAAATTCATGAAGCAAGAGAAAGAAAAAAGAAAAGTGAGAGCAGAAAGCTTCTGTCGTCGGGAAGAGAAAGAATCAAATTAGAGACCAAAAAAAAAAACGTAGTCTTATGACCACTTTACAAAAGCTATGAGTCCCACCTTTTTTTTTTTTTCCTTTCTCTTTTTCTTTTGCCTTTTTAAGTTACAGACATTACATTCTCCCCAACTTTAAAAAATTTCGTCCCCGAAATCAAGACATACCTGGAGAAGAAAACAACTCTGGATACTTGGAGCGAACCTCCTGTTAGAGCTCCCAAGTAGCCTCCTCGACTCCGTGGTGTCTCCAAAGGACTTTCACCATTGGTATCGTCTTGTTCCTCAACACCTTTTGTTGTGTGTCAAGAATCTGAATTGGTCATTCCTCGTAGGAAACATCCTCATCAATGTCTACATCAACCCAACTCAAAATGTGAGATGGATCTGGCCCGTACTTCCGTAACATCGATACATCAAAAACATTGTGGACCATATCCAACTGTGGTGGCAAAGCAAGTCTGTAGGCAACCTCTCCTACACGGTCCAAAATCTCAAATGGTCCAATAAATCATGGCGACAACTTGCCACTTTTCCCAAATCTCATCAAACCCTTCCGTGGAGAAACCCGAAGAAAAACGTGGTCTCCCACCTCAAAGAATAACGGCCGTCTCCGCTTATTCGCATAACTCTTCTGTCGGCTCTGAGCAGTAAGTAACCTCTGTTTTATCAACTTAATCTTCTCAGTAGTCTTGAGTACAATGTCGGGTCCTAAGGCGGCTGTCTCGCCTACCTCAGTCCAACAAACAGGAGACCTATAAGGTCTACCATACAACGCCTCAAATGGAGCCATCTGAATGCTCGCCTGATAACTATTGTTGTAGGCAAATTCAATAAGTGGAAGGTGATCCTCCCAACTACCACCCAAGTCAAGCACACATGCCCGAAGCATATCCTCCAAAATTTGGATAGTACGCTCCGACTGACCGTCAGTCTGTGGATGAAATGCCGTACTCAGGTGCAACGCTGAGCCAAACGCTGCTTGAAGTCCTTCCCAAAACTTCGAAGTGAACTTAGCATCCCTCTCTGAAACAATGGTTACTGGAACTCCATGCAACCTTACAATCTCCTTCACATAAAGAATACCAAGCTTCTCTGCATCATCTATTGCCTTAATAGGCAAAAAGTGAGCCATCTTGGTCAATCTGTCAATGATGACCCATACGGACTCATTGCCTCTTCGTGACCTTGGAAGACCTGTTACAAAATCCATAGCAATATGCTCCCATTTCCATTGCGCTACAGGTAATGGTTGCAACAAACCGGCTGGTCTCTGATGCTCGGCCTTCACTTGCTGACAGGTAAGGCATCTAGCCACAAACTGCGCAACATCTTTCTTCATCCCGTTCCACCAATACTAACGTCTCAAATTGTGATACATCTTGGTACCACCTGGATGAACTGTAAAGCGGGAAGTGTGAAACTCCCGTAAGACGTCTTCACGACAAACCGTAGGAACCACCAACAAACTCCTAAACCGTAAACCCCCATCTGCATACAAGGCCCAATCTTTCACTGTCTCACCACTGGAGATCAAAGCATGAATGGCATCTAAATCCGGGTCCTGTCTCTGTGACTCAATCACTCATACAGCAAGAGTAGGCTGAGCCACAAGACTAAATAAGAATGCCGGCTCGCTGTCAACATCATCATCAAAACAATACAATCCCATATCTGCCAAATCCTTAAGCATCTTCCACTTCCGAATAGCCAGACAAGCCAAAGTTCCACGAGATTTTCGGCTTAAGGCATCTGCTACCACATTTGCCTTGCCCGGATGATACTGCAAGTCAAAATTATAATCTTCCAAGAATTCAACCCATCTTCTCTGTCTATTGTTCAAGTCCTTTTGGGAGAAAAGGTACTTGAGACTTTTATGATCCGAGTACACCTCGAATCTCTCACCATACAAGTAGTGTCTCCAACACTTCAAAGCAAACACAACTGCCGCCAACTCTAAATCATGAGTAGGGTAGTTGTATTCGTGAGTCTTCAACTGTCGAGACCCATAAGCCATTACTCTACCATCCTGCATCAACACACACCCTAAACCATCACGTGAGGCATCACAATAGATCACATAACCCAAGCCACGCTCAGGTATCACCAACACTGGAGCCGTAGTCAATCTTGTCTTCAATTCCTGGAAAGATGACTCACAGGCTTTATTCCATGCAAACTTAATCCCTTTCCGAGTTAAACGAGTCATAGATGCTGCCAAACGGGAGAAATCTTTTACAAATCTCCGGTAGTAACCCGCTAGACCAAGAAAACTACGGATCTCAAACACATTCTTGGGTTGCTCCCAATTCAAAACAGCTTCAATCTTTGATGGATCAACTGACACTCCGCCTTCTGAAACAACTGTCCAAAAAACTTCACCTCTTGTAGCCAAAATTCACATTTCTCATATTTGGCATACAACCGGTGCTCCCGCAAAATCTGTAAAACAATACTTAAATGGATCTCGTGCTCCTCCCGAGATCGTGAATACACAAGAATATCATCCACGAAAACTACCACAAACTGGTCCAAGTAATCGTGAGAGACGCGGTTCATTAAGTCCATGAATGCCGCTGGAGCATTAGTCAAGCCAAAAGGCATAACAAGGAACTCATAGTGTCCATACCGTGTACGGAATGCTGTCTTCGGGATATCCTCATCCCTAACCCGCAACTAATAATAGCCAGACCTCAAGTCAATCTTGGAGAAACAACTGGCTCCCCTCAACTAATCAAATAAATCATCTATCCTTGGCAAAGGATACTTGTTCTTGATGGTGGCGTGATTCAACTTCCGATAATCGATGCACAACCTCAAAGAACCATCTTTCTTCTTAGCAAACAAGACCGGTGCGCCCTATGGTAACACACTTGGTCGGATGAAATCTTTCATCCTCAAATCATCAAGCTGTCTTTTTAATTCCTCAAATTTAACTGGTGCCATAGAAATCGGCGCGGTACATGGTATTAACTCAATAGAGAACTCCACTTCTCGGTGTGGAGGCAACTCTGTCAAATCCTCCGGAAACACATCTAGAAAATCACGAACAACTGCAGGATAATATTCTTCCACAACATCATCCTCTTCGGCTATAAGGCTAGCCAAAAAGTAATCACCACGACTCCGTCCACGAATTCCATAAAAAGATGAAATGTGGGAATCACTCCGATCTCCCACGAAAAAGAAACAGTCTCCCTCGGGAGTACAAACTGTAACCCTTCCTCTGAAACAGTCGATCGTGGCATGAAAGGAAGCTAAGCAATCCATCCCGAGAATGACATCAAAGTTAGTCATCTTTAGGAGGATAAGGTCAAACACAAAAGTCCACCCAGCTATCACAATGGAACAGTCCCTCATAACTCGGCTCAAAGACACTGAAACTCCAATTGGCGTATCAACACACAACGCCCGATCCATAAAACTAACCTCTAACCCCGATGCAAGTGCAAATGATGATGAAATGAAAGAATGAG